CCCGGGAGTCCTGCCCCCAGCCCCTCCTCCCTCAGACCCGGGAGTCCAGCCCCCAGCCCCTCCTCCCTCAGACCCGGGAGTCCAGCCCCCAGGCCCCTCCTCCCTCAGACCCGGGAGTCCAGCCCCCGGCCCCTCCTCCCTCAGACCCGGGAGTCCAGCCCCCAGCCGTTCCTCCCTCAGTGACCTTCTTTTCTGGCTCTGCTGCCTCCTTGCTGCATCACTCTGGCTAGGAAACTGTTCTCAGGCCTCAGGCTCCCTCTCTGAAAAAGGAGACACTTCTCTTGCTTTCCTGGGAGAGGATAGAACTCCCAGAAAAAGAAGTCTCCTTCTTCCTCTCCCTGTTTTTGGCTCTTTCTGTTTCTGTTTCCTTCAGGGACATGGACAGGAGCAAAGGAGGAAGCTGGGACGAGGCGTCCCCAGCTGCAGGGACAGGGTTAAGGGAGGACAGGGCCCCCGGAAGCCCCACAACTTCCTCCTGGAGGCCGAAGGTGGACATGCAGTCCCTGCTGCCTCCCTCTCTCCCTCCCTCCCAGAATTTCTGCCGAATCTTGGAGGCCTAGGTGTTTCCCAGAATGCGGGCGTGTGGGAGGAAAGGCCCTGTGGGCTGCCGCCGTCCAGGGCTCCGCTGAGCGCTGGGACCCAAGCCCTCTGAGTTCCTGGAAGTCCACAGGCAGTCTGCTTCCAGATTGGGATCTTTGCCGACCCTGGGGCACCTTGCCTAGGGTCCCACGTCCCTGGGAGCTCCTAATCCCATGCCTCTCGGGACTGACCACTCAGGGATGGCTCCCTCAGCAACTGGGTAGGGGTGTGGGGAGGGCGTCCCAGCACTGGGCTCTCTCCCGCCCTCTCCCCTCCCTCCTCTTCTTTGTCCTTCCTCTCAGGAAGGCAGAACGGGAGGTGGCAGGTCTGTCTTCCATCGGGCCATTCATCCGACACGTATTTGTTGAATACCTACTGTGTACCAGGCACGGGTCCAGATCCCAGCGGAACAGAGTCCTGACCAGAACAGGCAAAGAGCACTGCCCGTACGGAGCTTGTGTTCTAACAAGGGAGATGCACTTTATACAAGAAAGGCAATAAACGGGCAACTTAGACTTTATGTAGGAAGGTGAAAAATGCTGTGACAAACAGGAAAGAGCAGGGGGAGGTAAAGGGGAACAGGAGTGGCGGGGGGGGGGGCAGGTTTCCAGATTAGGGTGGCGGGTAGGCCAGCCTCCCTCTTCCCTTCTCCCTCCCTCGCTTCCTTCTTTCATTCCTCCACCCTTCCACCCTTCTCTGTTCCTCTCCCTCCCTCCTCCCTCCATGCTCTGTCTCTCCCTATCTACACTCTCCCAAAGCACTTCCTTCCCACCCAGACACCTTTGCCTGGACTCAGGTATTTAACAGAACACCACAACTTCCTCGCCTTACTTCCCCGGGGCCCTTGCTTTCCCTCGTTCCCCAGGAGACAAGTAATCATCGAGAAGGGTACATGCCCGAAATGAGGCAAATGTAGTCAGAAGGAGCTCAGATGAAAGGCTCAGTGAGCTGCCTCGCAGTCTCCTTGCTCCTCGGGGTCCTCAGGGAGCTCTGCTCAACCTTGCTCTGCGCTCCCCCTCTCCTCAAGCCCCACAGCTACTGCCTGCGTCCCAGCTCAGACTTGTTCAGAGGAGACCCTGATATAATCCCGCCACTCAGACACCCCTGCCATAAGTCCCCAGTCTCTCCATCCAGTTCGTCCCTACAGGCACCCAGAGCCGCCCCCCCATCTGCTCCCAGCCCTCCCATAGCTCTCCAGCACCCCCAGGACCAAATCCCAGCCCCTGAATCTGCCAATCAGAACCTGCACGTGGTGAACCCAGCTATGCATCCCACCCCCACGCCGTGCTTCGCCCCTCATGCTTCTACACATCAACCCACCTGTACTTTGCTGACTGGCCAGGACATTTCTTGCCTTGCATGCCCTTCCTACTCCACTTTCTAACCCCCAGTCCCACCCCCACCCTTACCTTGGCTAACTCCTCATCAGTCAGGACTCTGCTCCTCCTGGACATCACCTCCTTCGGGAAGCCCACCCTGATTCTCCAGCCGGTTTGGTGCATCCTTGCACTAGTCTTTGATCCTCTGTTTACACAGCTGTCTCCTCCACAAGATTGGCATCTCCACAAGGGCAGGGCCCGGGTCTGAGTCATCTCTGTGTGCCTGGCATCACCCAGCCGAGAGCCTGGCCCACCAGCGGTGCAGGAGATGTTGCTACAGGGAACAAATGTTCTTTTCCCCTGCCTTTTCTCCATTTCTGCCTTATTTTCTCCCCACTCTTCACCCCTGTCCTGGTTTTCTGTAAACCAAAGCCTGAGGTTTTCTGATGATGATGGAAATCTTGGGAGGGCCACTGTGTACCCAGGGCAGGGAACAGAGATCAGCCTTCACTGGAGTGGAGGGTTCTGGGAGAGATAGGTGTTAGTGAGGGGAGCAAGAGGTGATTCTGCCACTACCTCTTGCCTCCTGTGGGAGTGCCTGGTTTCATCTGTCCTTGTCTTGGCTACTGCCAGCCTTGGTCATCTCTGCCTGCAAGGAATTCTGGGAGACTGGACATGTGAATCTGAGGGAGGAGGGGGCTGGGAGCTTGGACTTTTGGGAGGGAGGAGGGGGCTGGGGATCAGGACTCCTGGGTCTGAGGGAGGAGGGGGCTGGGGGGCTGGACCCCTGGGTCTGAGGGAGGAGGGGGTGGGGGCAGGACTCTTGGGTCTGAGGGAGGAGGGGGCTGGGGGGCTGGGGGGCTGGACTGCTGGGTCTGAAGGAAGAGGGAGCTGGGGCCCGGACTCCTGGATCCTGGAAGTGGAAACCATTGGGGTTTAAAGTCCTGGTCCCTCCTTCTTCATCCACACTCTGGTTTTAGAAACATCTGGTTTTATACAGCTGCTCCACCCGGGCAGGGTGGGGTGGGGGCTGGGGAGCCAAATGCCCGGCTTCTGAGTGGAGCCTGGACTGCCCCCACCCCCACCCTGGGGTAGAGGAATCTCCCTCCCCTCCTGCTCTGGGCTCAGCTCCCACTGGGGGATCCATCATCCTGACACAGCCAGACACCAGGCGGCAGGCTCCTGGCAACAGCGTCAGAGATGCGGCCCTGCCCTGGTGAGGTGGGCGGGGTGCCTCTCACTTGGGCCCTGAACTGGCCTTCCCCCCCCACCCCCCCACCCCACCCCACCCCCCCGGACAGCCAGGCTCAGGCAAGTCCCAACCTAGTGATGGCCCCTCACACCCTGCCTCCCCGGGGAAACCCAGGGAATGAGGACTTGGTGTCCTACAGGGGAAAGCTCCAGGACAGTCTGGATGCGATGAAGCAGCAGGAGGGAAAAAGGAGGACTTAGAAACAGAAAACACAGTCAGAGAGAAGCAGGGAAGGGGAGAGTCAGAAAAACACATACAGAGATGGAACCTCAGAAGAAGATGCACGGAGATACACACAGACCGATGGCGATAGAGGCAGAGACAGAGAAAAGAGCAGCAACCACCGAGAGGCACAGGGAGAAATAGAGAAAACCAGGCAGATGGGGGGAAAGATACGAATACGGATATTGAGCGAGAAACAGAGAAGATAGGCAAACGCAAAGGAAACAAAGGCGGAGACACACGGGAGAGTGAGAAAGGGAGAGACAGACTCATGGAGTAGGAAAGTCAAGGAGACCGAGAGTCAGAAATGCAGAGACAGACCCAGACCCAGAGGGAAGGAGACAGAAAGGGACAGAGAGAGAAGGAAAAGGGAGCGAGAAAGAGAGAGAGGGAGGCAGGGAGAGAAACAGGAACACACAGAGCGAACCAGACAGACAGGTGGACAGAGACTCGGAGACAGTAGGAGATGGGCATGTACACCGACAGACGGAGAAACAGAGGCAGCTACAGAGGGAGACAGATGGGCATTATCAGTTCACCCGAAGAGGAACAGAGAGAAGGAATTAGATAGAGTCTTTTGGTTTTTTGTTTTTTGTTTTTTTTATCATGGAAAAAGAAGGGCATGGAAACAATGACATTTATCACTGAGCCTCCGGGTCCTGAGGGGCTGGGGGCTTAGAAGCCGCAGGACCCCGTCTCGTTGGCCTCTAAGCGAGGCCACTGCCACCTCCACTCTGACTCAGGTTCCCGGGGCTCCCTGGGGGCAGCTGACCCACAACTCTGTGAGTTCACCCCGGAGCCCCCGGGAGACAAATCCCAGTGCCCAGCCCCCTCCCCGGGCCCTGGCACGCGCGCACAGGCAGACCCACAACCACTCACAGCGCCTTGCGGACAGCGGGCCTCACAGCCGGCGCGCGGCCACGCCCACAACCACGCACGTGTGCGCATTTTCTCGTCCCCGGGGCTTCGAGGGGAGCGGCTGGGATGCGGGAGAGGGGGGCAGAGAAACCGGGCAGACAGGAGGAACGACGGAGGGGGTGGGGGGAAGAAAGCGAGGGCGAGGAACGCAGAAATGGGGAGAGAGAAGAGGGGGGATCGAGAGCGGAGAGCCGAGAAGGAGGCCTGGGAGGGCGGGGAAGGGCGAGACGGCGGCCCTGGGAAGGGAGGCCGTCGGGCGCGGGGGTGCGGGCAGTGGCGGGAAGCGGGTGGAGCTGCCCGGCTGGTCCGTGACCTCAGAGCCCCTGGCCCAGCTCCTCCCTGACGTCAGCCCTCCACCGCCCCCGCCTGCATCGGTCTTCAAATGACCCCCGGGCTCCCCAGCCACAGCGAGACCCGGGAGCGAGCAGGAGAGGGAGCGCCCGCCGGACCCGCAGCGATGACACAGGTGCGCGCGGCCGTGCGGGGACTCTGGCACCTGTGTGACCACGTGGGTGGGTGGGGGGACACCGCGCGCGCTCCTGTGCGTGACGGCGACCGTCGGTGTGGGACAGTGACCCGGTCGGAGCGCTTGGGTTCCATCCCCCTGTGTAGGTGGCCGTCCCACCCGTAGTGTATGAGAAGTGACATGCCCTTGCTGATCCCGCTGTAAGTCCGTGTCTGCGTGCGGGGTGCGGGTGGGCGAGGCAGAGCTGTATTTGCTTGACACGTGGGCCGGATTTCTACTTTTATGTGTTCAGTAACTATTCAGTTGAACCAAAGGAAATCGCAGATATCTGGTCCCTTTTGCCCTTTAAAAAATGGCCACTTCATAGGGCTCAACCTTAACTGTTACTATTTTCTGAAGCTCTCTCCCTTCGCTCCCACCCGGACCCACGAGTGGGTGCCTGTGTCTCTGTTGCTCTGGTGGCATCCGTTCCTGGTTTAGCTCCTTCCTGCTCAGGGGCGTGTTCCCAAGTTCACCTGTGTGGCTGTTGGTGAGGGTCTCAGGATCCCTAAGTTCTAACAGCAGGTGTCTGGATTATCTTCTAGAATACGAATGTTCTCCTATGTGGGCACACTCTGTGTGTCTCTTGTCATGTGTGAATATATGTGTGGGGCTGTGTGTCCACAGCTGATACAGGTGTGTTTCTGAGTGTTTTAATAATGTAATTATTAATACTGAGTGACTACTAGGCTAAAAGCTCTACCTATAGAAGCTAAAAGCCGTGTCCTATAGAAACATCATGTGAGCCACATACATAATTTAAAATTTTTTAGTAGCCACATTTAAAAGGTAAACTTACTTTCAATAATATAATTTGTGTAACCCAATATATCAGGGGTCATCAGATTTTTTCTGTATAAAGCTAGATAGTCAATATTTGAGTTTTTGTGTGTCCTGTGATCTCTACTGCAACTACTCCACTTTGGTGTAGCGTGAAATCAGCCATAGACAGTATGTAAACAGATGAGTGTGACTGTATGCCAATCAAAGTTGATTTAAGGATGCTGAAATTCGAATTTCATGTAATTTTCATATGCCACAAAGTATTATGCTTTTGACTTTTTTCACCCATTTAAAAATGTAAAAACTAGGGATGCCCAACTGGCTCAGTTGGTAGAGCATGCGATTTTTTTTAAAGATTTTTATTTATGTATTTGACAGAGAAAGAAAGTGCAAGCAGGGGGGAGCAGCAGAGGGAGAGGGAGAAGCAGACTCCCTGCTGAGCAGGGAGCCCATGTGGGGCTGGATCCCAGGACCCTGGGATCATGACCTGAACCAAAGGCAGATGCTTAACCAGCTGAACTACCCAGGCACCCCTGAGCATGTGCTTCTTAATTTCGGGGTTGTAAGTTCAAGCTCCACATTGGGTGTAGAGGTTACTTAAAAAATAAAATCTTAAAAAAAAAAAAAACCACTAAACTAAAAACTTGTCTTCGCTTGCAGGGTTGTAGTGAAAAGGGTAGCAGGCATCTGGCCTGAGGGCTGTAGGGTGCCAACCCCTGCTATCTCTCAGAAATATTATCATTTCACGAATAGACGCATTTGCTACAACGTAACATAAAGCTTCAAAACAAGATTTTAAAAACTATCATTTCAGTATGTAACCAATACAAAAATATTAATGAGATATTTTACTCTCTTTTTTTTCAAACTAAGGCTTCAGAATCCAGATGTGTAACACATCTCACACAGATACTGTATTTTCATTGGTGATACCTGATCCGCATTTAGATTTCATAAAATTTACCAATGAAAAAGCAGCTTCCCACACCCTACTTGTTTCAAACATACTTAAAAGCTTTCCAATAATTGAATCCAGTATCAGTTTCTGAAGTTAAATATTTAAATAAAATTAAAAATTCAGTTCCTCTGTCATACTGGCTGTTTTTCAAGGACCGAGCAGCCACATGTGGCTGGTGACGCCTGTTTTGGACGACACAAATCTGTATCCTAATGACTCATTTAACTCATAAAGAAGCCCATGAGATGGGAGCTGGTGACAGAGGAGGCAGTTTAGAGGACGATGGAGCCAGACTGCCTGAATGGCCTTGGGCAAGAGAAATCACTGCCCTGTGCCTCAGTTTCCTTATATGTAATAGGAGCAACAGTATCTATCACACTTGGGCAGTACTTGGCATGTAGAAGGGGCTAAATCCCCATTTTACAAGATGAGAAAACGGAGGCACCCCTCTCTCTGATTCTGAGCTCTTCCCGCAACACGTACTGGGCACTTGGCCCTGTCGGGAACCTGAGCAATGAAGGAGAATGTGGTCTTGCCTTTGGGAAGTCAGAGAAAAGACTCCTCCACCTGTGAGCTTCATGACCTTTGGCAAGCCACTCTTCCTGGCTAATCAGTTCTCAGTTTTGCTATGTGTATGGTGGCAGTAAACATTATCTCCTGCCCCCCCCACCCCCAGCTCTCCTGACCAGTAAAGCCAGTATATAAGCTGGTAGTTCAATGACCGGATTCTTAGGTTCAAATCCTGGCTTCTCTGCCATCCAGGTGTGACCTTGGGCAGGTTGCTGCACCTCTCTCTGACTCAGTTGCCTCGGCTATAAAATGGGGATAATAGTACCTACCTCATAGGACTGTCCTGAGGATTAAAATAAGTTTCTATAAAAGGCTTATGGCAGCACCTGGTACATACCATATTGCATTTTTTTAAAATATTTCTTTATTTGACAGAGAGAGAGAGAGAGACAGCGAGAGGGAGCACAAGCAGGGGGAGTGGGAGAGGGAGAAGAGGGGAGAAGCAGGCTTCCTGCTGAGCAGGGAGCCCGATGTGGGGGCTCGATCCCAGGCCCCCGGGATCATGACCTGAGCCGAAGGCAGACGCTCAAGGACTGAGCCACCCAGGCACCCCCATATTGCGTTATTTTTAAGATGATGATGATGATGATCTCAACACTAAGAAACCTTTAATTGTGAGATGAGCGTTTATTTTATGTGCCACCAAGAAGCGGGAGGGGAGGAGATCCCCTGTTAATTAAACTGTGACATTCCCTTGAGTGTAATCCTCATGGATTGAAGAGCTGTTTAAAATGTGGGGGGGAAATGTATTAGAATCAATATACTATAATCAGGCATCGAGCTTCACTGTTTGCCACAATCATTTTCATCAGTGAAAATAACTTTGCAGTACCCAGGGGATTTTCTTTACAAAAAGGGGATGTTGTATTGGCTTGGGGGAAAGCAAAAGCCCTAGGTGTTCCCTTCACAGAAGAGGACTTCAGGACTCTTTCCCACCGCTCTCCCCTCTCTCTGCTCCCAGCAGGACGTGCCCAAGCCCACCCCGGCCGGCCGCCACTGCTCTGGCCTGGCCCGGCGGGTGCTGACTATCACCTTCGCGCTGCTCATCTTGGGCCTCATGACCTGGGCCTACGCCGCCGGGGTGCCGCTCGCCTCCGATCGCTACGGCCTCCTGGCCTTCGGTCTCTACGGGGCTTTCCTCTCCGCACACCTGGTGGCGCAGAGCCTCTTCGCGTACCTGGAGCACCGGCGGGTGGCGGCGGCGGCGCGGCGGGCGGCGGCGCGGGGGCCCCTGGAGGCGGCGGCGGCGCGCAGCGTGGCGCTGACCATCTCGGCGTACCAGGAGGACCCGGCGTACCTGCGCCAGTGCCTGGCGTCCGCCCGCGCCCTGCAGTACCCGCGCGCGCGGCTGCGCGTCCTCATGGTGGTGGACGGCAACCGCGCCGAGGACCTCTACATGGTGGACATGTTCCGCGAGGTCTTCGCCGACGAGGACCCCGCCACCTACGTGTGGGACGGCAACTACCACCAGCCCTGGGAACCCGCGGCGGCGGGCGCTGCAGGCGCGGGCGCCTACCGGGAGGTGGAGGCCGAGGACCCGGGGCGGCTGGCGGTGGAGGCGCTGGTGAGGACGCACAGGTGCGTGTGCGTGGCGCAGCGCTGGGGCGGCAAGCGCGAGGTCATGTACACGGCCTTCAAGGCCCTCGGCGACTCTGTGGACTACGTGCAGGTGAGTGCAAGGTGCCCGCGCCCCACCGCGCCCCTGACGCTGGGAATCCCTCTTCTCTAGGATTCTTCCTTCGGTGCAGAGATTGGAATGGACCTCTTTCTCACTCCCTTTTTTATCCAGCCATTCAGTGTAGGGATTCTTTCCGTCGCTCCTTCGTTCTTACGTCCCTCTATCCGTCCATCCAGTGAGGATACCACTCATTTTATTCATCGTGTAGTGATTCATTAATTCCTCCCTTTCTTCATTCATTCATCCTCAAGTTGCATAGTCTATACTCTTTCTTTCACTCCTACTCATACATTCTTTTTTTATTGTAGTTGACATCACTCATCCCTTCTTATATCCATCTCTCCAATATGGAGGTCATTCGTTTATTTTGTTCATTCATTTACCTGTTGGATGCAGACTCTTTCCTTCCCTCGTTCACCCATCCATCCATCCATCCATCCATCCATCCATCCAGTCATCCACTCAATCTAAAGATTTATTCATTTATCCATCCAATGTAGAAATCATTGCTTTATTCACCCATTCAATGTAGAGATTTCTTCCTGTCTTCATCCAATGTAGACATTCATTCAGTAATGCACTGCATTCGTTTTCTATTACTGACTAACATGACTACAAATTTGGCAGCTCAAAACAAAACACTTATTATCTCCTAGTTTCCATGAATCAGGAGTCTGGGCAAAGCTTAACTGGTTCCTCTGTTCGGGTACCATCAGGCTATAATCATGATGTCAGCTGGAGCTGGGTCCTATCTAAGGCTCAGGGGCCTCTTTCAAGCTAATGTGTTTGTGGGCAGCATTCATGTTCTTGCAGCCATAAAACTTCTTCCAGATCAGCAAGAGAAAGTCTCTGACTTCTAGACCTTCTTTTAAAGGGCTCACCTGATTAGGTCAGACCCACCCAGGAAATCTCAGTAGATTAGGGATCTTTTTTTTTTTTAAGATTTTATTTATTTATTTGACAGAGAGAGAGACAGCGAGAGAGGGAACACAAGCAGGGGGAGTGGGAGAGGGAGAAGCAGGCCTCCCGCGGAGCAGGGAGCCCGATGCAGGGCTCGATCCCAGGACCCCGGGATCATGACCTGAGACGAAGGCAGATGCCTAATGACTGAGCCACCCAGGCGCCCCAGGGATCTTAATTACATTGCAAAACTCCTTTACTATGTGTATATAAGGCAATATCATCATGGGAGTTATGTGCCATCTCTTTTGCCATATCCTGTGGGTTAGAAACAAGTTACAGGTCTTGCCCACATGCCAGAGGAGGGTATGATACAAGGTTATGGGTCTTAGGGAGGTCATCTTAAAGTGTGTTTAGACATTGAAAATGACTACAAAATTGGAAGTTATGTTCAGATTGGGTGCGGAGTGTCCCAGCAGCTCCCCACCCTCTGGTGCCCTCCCCTCAGGCACCAGCTCTGGGCAGGGATTTGGCCTGATCCCGGCCCCTTCCACCCCACAGGTCTGTGACTCGGACACAAGGCTGGACCCCATGGCACTGCTGGAGCTGGTGCGGGTACTGGACGAGGACCCCCGGGTAGGAGCTGTTGGGGGGGACGTGCGGATCCTTAACCCCCTGGACTCCTGGGTCAGCTTCCTAAGCAGCCTGCGGTACTGGGTGGCCTTCAACGTGGAGCGGGCTTGTCAGAGCTACTTCCACTGTGTGTCCTGCATCAGTGGTCCCCTAGGTGAGCAGGGGTAGGACTTGGGAGGGCCATGGGTAGGGTGGAGGGGGCAAGAGGGAGCCAGAACGGGCTGAGGATATGATTGAGATTGGGGACAAAGATGGGGCTGCAGCAGGGATTGGGGAGAGGGATACAACTGGAAGCTGGAGGTGGGATGGTGGTTGGTGGGGTTGGAGAAAGGGTGTGGATGGGGACAGGGAATGGGGATGGGTTTAGGGAAGGGCACGGGATGGCACTGGAGTCGAGGAAAGGGTTGGGGCCAAGTTTGGGGTTGGTGAAGGGTTTTTGGATGCGGATGGGTAGAGGATGGGGCCAGAATGGGAGGTGAGTTGGGTTGGGACATAGGATTGGGGACAGTACCGGCCACAGTAGAGGCTGATGGTCCTGTACTCCCCACCCCCACCTAGGCCTGTACAGGAACAACCTCCTGCAGCAGTTCCTTGAGGCCTGGTACAACCAGAAGTTCCTGGGTACCCACTGCACCTTTGGGGATGACCGGCACCTCACCAACCGCATGCTCAGCATGGGCTACGCGACCAAGTAAGCCGAGGGGATCGGGTAGTTGGGTGTGTGCGGAGGCCAGTGACTGTGTGTGTGTGTGTGTGTTGGGAATTCTCCAAACCCAGATTATTGTGCAGGACAGTGGGCTCTACCAAATGAGACATTAAGGGAGAGTGGAAGATACTGGAAGGGGTAGGGGTGGCATTTACACTGATCATGTGACCCAGTGGCCTCTACTAAGTGAGGCAAGGTGGGGGTGGGGAATCCCACCTAGAATATACCTCATGAGATGCGGCAGGATGGCTCTACCCCGGCAGGGCCGATTACTTCAAGTGAGGTGGGAAGGGAAAGAGAGTGGGATCTAGTGAGAGAGTGAGCAAGAAGGATCAAGTGCTTCAGGAAGAGTTGTAATTCAGTGAGACTCGGGGAGTGTGGGTTCAACCAGGTCGAGTTCAGGGGAAAGAGATTTCTACAAAGCTAGACCCTGTGAAAGGGCCAGAGAGAACTTGGGGTACACCAAGGGAATCCATGCATTCATTCACAAGGCACACATTCATTATAATGTGTTTTTGTTTATTTATTTAAGTAATCTCTGTGCCCCATGTGGGGCTTGAACTCACGACCCCAAGATCAAGAACAGCATGCTCTTCCCACAGAGCCAGCCGGGCACCCCTCATTACAATGTTTCAAGCTCTGAGGATGCAGCAGTTAACAAGAGACACAAATTCATGCTTACACCTACTGGGGAGACAGTAACTAAGGAGAACGTGTAGTAGGAGGCTGGATGATGGACGTGCCAGGAAAGGGGGTTAGAGAGTCTGGGAGCAGGGAATGAAATGTTAACTAGGATGCCCTAAGAAGGGCAGGGAGGGAGGCTGGAAACCGTGCAGCTGGAGCCCTAGCAAGGGGGAGAGCGTCAGGGGAGGAAGGCAGAGTGGTGATGGGGTGCACTCAAGAAAGGCTTAGAGGCCACCCAAGAACTTTGAGCGAAGATGAGGGAGCCCTGGGAGGTTCTGGGCAGAGGGGTGAGTGTTGTTGGGATAGGATCCCTCTGGCAGCTGTTTTGAGTACAGACTGCAGGAGACAAGGGTGGGAGGCGGCAGGGAGGCTACTGAGGATGCCAGGCGACAGACACAGGGGAAGGAGCCGGGACGGTGTCAAGTAATACCCGTGGGGATAGAATAGTTTGATGCCTCCTAACAAACCTGACCGTTAGTGGCCCACCTGATGACGTTCCAGAAACGGGATCCTAGCCTTGTGTGGGCTTAGCTGCGAACTGGGTGGGGTTGACTAGGATGTCCGCTGCGGCCACAGCAAGGGGGCCTAATGGGTCCCTTGAGCTCGAACACATGGGCTGCCCTGGGTGGTAGGAACATCGCCTGGCTTGTCCCTCACCATGGGGCCTGCCAATAAGAGTGACCACCAAAGTATTCGTCATAGATTAGTGATAGCATTAGTAATAGGTCAGTAACTGTAAGGATATTAGTAATGGCAGTCGTGGTATTAGTCATTGTGCAAACAGTAGTAGTTGCTAATATTTATTGAGCAAGTACAACATCCTGAGCTCAGCAGTTGGCATGTAGTCCTGATTCAGTGCTCACCCCAGCCGTATAAGGTAGGAATCCTTGTCGATCCCATTTTACTTACGGGAACACGAGGCCCAGGGAGGTCAGGCAAGCTTGCAGCCCCGTGGCCGGCCCGACGTCAGTGGCCTTTTCCGGCTCCGATCCCTGTCCTGGCCGCAGGGAGGGCGGTGCTGATGCCCTGCCTCGTCCCTCCGGCGCAGGTACACCTCCCGGTCCCGCTGCTACTCCGAGACTCCCTCGTCCTTCCTGCGCTGGCTGAGCCAGCAGACGCGCTGGTCCAAGTCCTACTTCCGCGAGTGGCTGTACAACGCGCTCTGGTGGCACCGGCACCACGCGTGGATGACCTACGAGGCGGTGGTCTCCGGGCTCTTCCCCTTCTTCGTGGCGGCCACCGTGCTGCGGCTCTTCTACGCGGGCCGCCCGTGGGCGCTGCTGTGGGTGCTGCTGTGCGTGCAGGGCGTGGCGCTGGCCAAGGCGGCCTTCGCGGCCTGGCTGCGCGGCTGCCCGCGCATGGTGCTGCTCTCGCTCTACGCGCCGCTCTACATGGGCGGCCTCCTGCCCGCCAAGTTCCTGGCGCTGGCCACCATGAACCAGAGTGGCTGGGGCACCTCTGGCCGGCGGAAGCTGGCCGCCAACTACGTCCCCCTGCTGCCGCTGGCCCTCTGGGCTCTGCTGCTGCTGGGAGGCCTGGTCCGCAGCGTGGCGCACGAGGCCCGGGCCGACTGGAGCGGCCCTGCCCGCGCCGCCGAGGCCCACCACCTGGCCGCCGGCGCTGGCGCCTACGTGGGGTACTGGGTGGTCATGCTGACGCTCTACTGGGTGGGCGTGCGGAGGCTCTGCCGGCGGCGGTCGGGTGGCTACCGAGTCCAGGTGTGAGTCCAGGTGTGCGGGCTGCCCGCCCAAGGGACTTCAGGGGAGGCGAGAGGAAACCAGCGGAGGCGGAGGGGGGCGGGGGCGGGAAACAGGAGCCGCGGACTTGCTGGGTGGTTCTCTGGGCCTCAGTTTCCCTCCTCTGTGAAGTGAGGGGGTGGACCCAAGATTCTTCAACCTGGACTATTTTGGGGCTGGGACTTCAGGGTCCCTGGGGAGGGTATTTATTGATCAGGGCGTGGATTTTTAGCGGCGGGGGGACAAGGGTCCCCACATGCTGCCCAGGGGCCTGCTTTCTCCTTATTTAATATCCATTTGTACTGTGTGATTAGGATATAATAAAGAATTTTATTTATTTTCTTCCGAGCCTCCCCCCGCCTTTTTTTTTTGAGAACTGAAGGGCTACATGGTCGAAGGTTGGGGACTCGTGGCTCTGTCTTGGGTACCAGCTGTTCGAACGTAGACAGGCTCCTTCCTCGGGAAGCGGATAATAATCCCATGGGTCAGAGTCGGGAGGGTGAAATTTCTCAGCTTCTCATCACTGACACTTACGGAGTTGCCTGCTATGTGGGGACACTCTTAGGTATTGTGGAGGCCCTTTCCCTGGTCCATCCACTTGGCTACTCTCTAAGAAAGGTGAGTCATACCTTGTCTCCTCAAACCCCTAGCACCTCACCCTTAGCTTGCTTCCCATCTCATTGGGAAAACAAAGGTGACAAGAAGAAAACTTTCCGTCCCACCTGCACATCTTTCCACTGATCTTCATCTGTGCCCACACAGGCCACCTTCCCCCATTCCTGAGGGCAAACTGCCTGTTCCAATGCCAGCTCCTTCCACTGGGGCACTGGACCTCATGCCCTCTGGGCTACTCAGAGATTTCACTCCTTCTGTTCTTCCCACATCATCAATTCTTCCCTCCCCACGGGCCTTTCCCATCAGCATCCAAATGTGCTGTCATTCTCCGATTTTTTAAATACATTTTTAAAAGATTTTTATTTACTCATTTGATAGAGTGAGCGCGTGAGAGAGCACAAGCATCGGGAGCGGCAGAGGGAGAGGGAGAAGCAGGCTCTCCGCGGAGCAGGGAGCCCGATGCGGGGCTCGATCCCAGGACCCCGGTATCATGACCTGAGCCGAAGGCAGACACTCAACCAACTGAGCCACCCAGTGCCCCTCACTCTCTGATTTTTAAGACTCCCTGTCTTGACCTATTTCCTCCTGAACTACTGTCTCATTTTTTTTTAAGTAATCTCTACCCCCAATGGGGCTCAAACTCATGACCCCAAGATCAAGATCTTCTGCATGCCCTACCGACTGAGTCAGCCAGGCACCTCATCCTGTCTCATTTCTAACAGCAAAACTCCTTGAGAGCTGTTGATATTTGTCTCCAATTTCTCTCCCACAAAGTTCAGCCATGTCAAGTGTGTAATTCAGTGGTTTTTAGTAAGTTTATAGACTTGTGCAACCATTACCATAATCTGATTTTATTTTATTTTTTTTAAATCTTTTTTTTTAATTTTATTTATTTATTCATGAGAGACAGAGAGAGGGGGAGAGAGAGAGAGAAAGAGAGGCAGAGGGAGAAGCAGGCTCCCAAGGAGCAGGGAGCCCGATGCGGGACTCGATCCCAGGACTCTGGGATCACAACCTGAGCCGAAGGCAGACGCTTAGCCATCTGAGCCACCCAGGCACCCTGATTTTATTTTTTTTTAAAGATTTTATTTATTTATTTGACAGAGACAGAGACAGCGAGAACAGGAACACAAGCAGCGGGAGTGGGAGAGGGAGAAGCAGGCTTCCCACCGAGGAGGTAGCCCGATGTGGGGCTCGATCCCAGGACCCCGGGATCATGACCTGAGCTGAAGGCAGACGCTTAACGACTGGGCCACCCAGGCACCCCCCCCATAATCTGATTTTAGAACATTTTCCTCACCCCCAAAGAGGAACCCCATAACCACTGGCAGTCCCTTTCATTCCTCACCTCGAAACCACCTCGATGCCCTAGGCAACCATAATCTACTCTGTCTCTACAGATTTGCATGTATCACTGGCTCATTCCTTTTTATTGCCAAATAATATTCCATTGTAGGGATGTATCACATTTGGTTTATGCATTTATCAGTTGATGGACATTTGCGATGTTTCCAATTTTTGGCCACTGTGAATAACGCTATGACCATTCACATTCAAGTTTTTGTGTGAACACAGGTTAAATTCTCTGGGAGTGGAGCTGCTGAGTCATACGGTGATCCTGTTTAATTTATTGAGGAAGTGCCAGATGGTTTTCACAGCGCCGGTACCATTTTATATTCCTACCAGCAAAGTAGGAGTATTCCAAATTCCTTACATCCTCACCAACATTTGTTATCACCTGACTTAAAAAAAAAAAAAAAGATTTTATTTGAGAGAGAGAGCATGAGTGGGGTGAGGGGTTGAGGGAGAGCGAGAAGCAGACTCCCCGCTAAGCAGGGAGCCCCACGCGGGGCTCGATCGAAGGACCCCTGGGATCATGGCCTGAGCCGCAGTCAGACGCTTAACCAACAGAGCCACCCAGGTGCCCCTCACCTGACTTTTTGATGATAGCCTCCCAGGGGGTGTGAAATGGTATCTCACTGTGGTTTTGATTTGCATTTCCCTGATGATGAGTGTGGCTTAAACCCATGCCAATCAGATGGCTCCCCGCGCCACCGCTCTATGGAAATGGCTCTGGTCAGGTTCATCAGTGATGTCCACCTTGCTAAAACCAGTGGCCAATTCTCAGGCCTTCTCTTTCACCATGTGGCGGCATGTGACCCAGCTGATCACTATGTCCTTGGAAATGCTTTCTTCGCTTGGCTTTCAGAATGCCGCAGCTGCCTTGGTTTCCCCGTTTTTCCTTCTCAGTTCCTCTTCATGGTTCCGACTGCTTACCTGTGGAGGACCCACTTCTGTTATCCGTCTACACTCATTTCTTCTGTGTATCCAGCGGCGTGGCTCTGCATGCCTCATTCACGCTCCATGCCTGGAGAGGGGGCTCTGCAACTTGTATCTTCAGATCAGACCTCACCCCTAAACTCCCGACTCATGTACCCAACTGCCTCCAAGACACTTCCACTTGGGATACCTGCTCACCAGACCCAACACCGCATCTGTCCTCCTCTCCCTCCTCAATCCCCATGAAACCTGCTCCTCCAACAGCAGTAAACAGAACTCTTGACATTCCAGCTGCTCGTGCCAAAAATGCTAGAACTGCACTGAGCACAACAGTGGCCCCTACCACATAGGGCTTTTCTTTTCTTTCATTCACTCATTTTTTGATGATATCAATCAGTCGCAAAACCATTTACCAAGTATGTACTGAATTCCACATTTTCCCGGGTTTGCAAATACTGAAATGAGTCAGAGGCAGCCCCTGCCTTCCAGTAGCTCCTAGTCAAGTAAACGAAGAGTGTGATCCGGAGTTATACCCAGGGTGCCCAGACACCTTCCTCTGTGACTTCTGTTTTCATAGATGAGGGACAATTTAAATTATTAAAGCTATAAAAGATGATAAATTTAGCTCTCCTCGGGGGTGCCTGGGCGGCTCAGTCGGTTAAGCCATCTTCCTTCGGCTCGGGTCATGATCCCAGGGTCCTGGGATTGAGTCATAGTCGGGCTCGCTGCTCAGCAGGGAACCTGCTTCTCCCTCTGCCTCTGCTCCTCCCCCCTGCTCCCTCCCGCTCTCTCCCTCACTCTCTCTCCAATAAATAAAATCTTAAAAAAATAAAATAAAATAAATTTAGCTCCTCAGTGTCACTGGCCACATTTGACCTGCTTCATGGCCACAGGTGGCCGAAGGCCACCACATGGACAGTGCACATCTAGAATGTTCCCGTCATGGCAGAGGGTTCTACTGACATTGCGGCTGCAATGACCACTGACACCTGCCCCTTCTCTTTTTTTCCCCTCACACCCAACATTCTGATCCATCAGCAAACCCCACTGGTTCTACCTTCAGGACGGATCTAGAACCACTGCTCCTCACTGTCACCACTTTGTCCCCGAGCTGCATCTCCTCCCTGGATTAAAGCTGTCCAATTACCACAGCACCTAACGGCAGTTCCTGTTTCCACCCCTGCCCCCTACAGTTTATCCATGCAGTGGCCATGCAACTCAAAATCATATCATGACCCTCCTCGCCTCAAAAACTGCCCATTAACTCTCATCTCAGAGGAAAATCCAGACCTTACAGTGGCCAAGGTCCTGCATGATCTGGTCCCCTCACATTCTCTCTGACCTCACTGCCTACTCTTTCCTAAAGTTCTGCTCCAGATGCCTCCCGGCCACATCCCCAACACTAGGCGCACTCGGGGGCTTTTGCCCCTGCTGTTTTTGCCTTGATCCATGTCTTATTGCGCTTAATTTTCTTGTTTATTATCTAACCATCCATTACAATCTAAACTCCATGGGGCGCCTGGGTAGCTCATTCGGTTAAGCATCTGACTCTTGATTTCAGCTCAGGTCATGATGTCAGGGTTGTGAGATCAAGCCCCACGTTGGGCTCCACATTGGGTGTGGAGCCTGCTTAAGATTCTTTCGGTGGCTCAGTTGGTTGGACGACTGCCTTCGGCTCGGGTCGTGATCCTGGAGTCCCTGGATCGAGTCCCGCATCGGGCTCCCTGCTCAGCGGGGAGTCTGCTTCTCCCTCTGACCCTCCCTCCTCTCATGTGCTCTCTCTCTCTCAAATAAATGAATAAAATCTTTGAAAAAAAAAAAAAGATTCTTTCTCTCCTTCTCCCTCTGCCCCGCCCCCCGCCAAAGAATCTAAACTCCATGAGGGTGCAGATTTTTGTCTGTTCTGATTTCTTCACTGCTGTCTCTACAGTACCTTGAAAATGCCTGGCACATAGAAGTACTCGGTAAATATTCCCTGAATGAGTGAGTCAGTAAAGGGGACTAGTATCAGTGAACAAGAATGAGTAGATGCCCAGAAGGAACTTATCCTTCAGGTGGGAAGACACAAACCCAAATAAAAAACACAAGTTGACATTAAGTCCCAACGAGTACTGTGCACAAACCAAAACAGGGGGAGGGAAGTAGTCAGAGAAGATGACATTTGAGCGGGGAGCTGTGCAGTGAGAGGGAGGTAGCTCCGTGAGGTCCACAGTAAAGTGACTTCAAGTATGAAGGACAGCATGTACAAAAGCCCGAACATGGGACTGAGCTTTGCATGTTCAAGGGACAAAAAAAAAAAAAAAAGGCTAGTGGGCTTAGAGGGTAGAGGGAACAAAAAAAGGGAGGTGAGTCCGGCAAAAATAGCGCCAGATACACAGAGTCATCGTGGGGATTAAATAGGTTAATATATGTAAAGGCTTTTCAGGGGAAACCGTAACTGAGTTAACTAGACACAAAAGGGAGAAAACCTTATTCTAGGCAGGAAACAGCATGTAACCAGGTCCTGGAGAGGGTGACAAGAATCATGACAAACGTAAGGAATAAGCAAAGGCCAGACAAAGTGCAGGGTGGAAAGATCAAGGGAGAAGAGTGGTGGGACAAAGCCTGCCAGGTCAGCAAGGGTCAGAACCTGGAGCATCTTAGAGGCCTTGTTAAGGAACTGGGTTTTGTTCCAACGGCAATAGGGAGCCACTGAAGGCTTTTGAGCAGTGGAGTGACATGACCTGACATACTTTAAAATATTATTCTGGCTGCCATGTGGAGGATGGACCGTAGTGAGGCAAGGCTGATTCGGGGCAGGGAGGCGAGTGGGGATGCTGCTGCAGTGATCCAGGCAAGAGACGATGGTGACTGGGACCACAGACAGAGGGCAGCTACACCGGATGTTTAGGAGTTAAAAAGGCTGAGCCACGGAAGTACAGGTGGGGGAGGAATTAAACGCAAGTTTCGGGAAGAGCAGCTGGGTGGATGGTGTTGCCCTCAGCAGGAAAGCCTTGAGGAGGAACAGGCGTTCAGAGAGACATCAAGGGCAGCGCTTTCTGCCCACAGGTCCTGTTCCCATGCTTTAATGAAATCACCTTGTTGCACAAAAAAACCAAACAAAAACAACAACAAAACCCAAAGAGACATCAAGGAGTCCATCTGAGGGTATCGTCTGCAGGTTGAAATGTCAAAGAGACAGCAATCCAGGGAGGAGTCTGGGCTTGTACGGAAAGTCCTCAGCACAGGACCTTGCATGCACCTCGACAGCTCTACATATTACTGTCATTAAAGGAATAGTCACCTGGGCATATTTGGGGTATGCTGCCCCTCCTCCTACCTGCCTTAACGGTGACCACCTTCAAAGATGAAAGAATCTACAGAGCTGAAATATATTCTTTATTTTAGGAATGAAAACAGGATAAGGAAGTAAGAAAAAGATACCTTTGTTAGTTGCCCTTGAAGTACCATCGAAAGAACATCCTGAGGAAACAAGGAGGCATTTGTGTTGGTGGGAAAGGTTTGGGATTAGATATCTGGGTCCTGGAAGCCTGAGTCCCAAAGGTAGGCAAGGCCTGCACTCTTGGATCTGAGAGAAGAGGGCCTAGGGGCTTGGACTCCTGAAACTGGAGGAGGAAGGAACTGGGGGCCGGGACTCCTGGGTCTGAGGGAGGAGGGGCTGGGGGCCTGGACTCCCGGGTCCGAGGGAGGAGGGGCTGGGGGCCTGGACTCCCGGGTCCGAGGGAGGAGGGGGCTGGGGCCCGGACTCCCGGGTCTGAGGGAGGAGGGGCTGGGGGCCTGGACTCCCGGGTCTGAGG